AATCCCATAACATTAGAACAACCGAGAATATACAGCAAGAATGCCCAGAGAAATAGTAGTCCCAAAAACAGTACTTGTTTCTGCACAAGCAGAAGGACACGAAAGCTAAGCACGAGACCTGACAGCCAAGATGCTAAATAGCTAAATCCAAGGCATTCAAGATTAAAGGTAAATCTGCCGCGATGGACAACTTTTCCAGCAGTCCCTGGTCGAGCAGATCCTGCAGAATATTGAAAAACAAGCGCGGCCAGAAGTACCCACGAGAAAGTTTTTTGCTAGTGCCGTGAGCGCTCTGTCGGAACGCTCTTTGGCGCGTGCTCTGCAACTTTCAGGTCTCTGTTCACCTCCACGTAAACCATATTTAAACCTTGGGGTTGCGTCCAGAGTAGGAACACCATCTTTGGGGATAGAATCTCTGCGTTGTGGTTGGAAGCCAATAGGGTCGTTTCCTGCCCTTGGTTCTACCTTTAACAACGATTCTATCGCGGTAAACCGAGCTAAAGACTACGTCATGCAGCGGGTTGCCTTCTTTACATCTGAAAATTTCCCTGAACTGGCGAAGCTGAAGCTTGTTCAGGAGGTCTGAGGGTCGTTGAGGGTAGTTGGCGGTGCGCCAAACTACATTATTGTTGATTCTGGAGATATAAGAAGCCTTAATACCAACAATACGTCTGAGAAATCGCATGAAGAAAGCGTCGATGCGTTGTAATCGTTTGCTAGTAAGAGTAAATGCGTCAAGACCATACGTAAGGACCGGGGTAAAGACCGCGAGAAAGAGTTTGAGTTTTCGTGTTCGGGGCATCGAGCTGTTCCAGGCTAGCCTAAGTTTCTTATAGGCAGATTCTGCTAAGGCCATACGGTGTTTGAGCGCAATATCAAAGGAATTCGTCCAAGAGATCATAGACCCCAAGTATTTGACCTGCGTTGTGGTCGGGACAGTGCTACCGTCCGTGAATTTGACGGCAGGCGGGTCTTTCTGTGGATGGTAGAGAAGTTCTGTTTTTTCTTTGTTTAGAGACATGCCATATAGGATTGCTTGTCTTTCTATTGCTTGCAGGATGTACGAAAGTTGCGTTGTGGTCAATGAGAGTAATAGCGTATCATCGGCATATTCTATGTCATGAATGGGGTGTGCTACTGACCAGGAATTTAGAGGGATGCCTTGGGTGAGTAGGTCGGCGTCAGCATCATGCAATAAGACGGTGAGGACCATTACAAACAGGTAGGGACTGAGGGGGCACCCTTGACGAATACCAGATCCCACTGAGCCTTCACTAGTGTGTCCTAAAGGGCCTTTGGTGGTGAACTGTGCGTTGTGGTAGAATGATTCGATGACCCCTAGTGTGTTGCTTGAAAGCCCGAACCGCTTAAGTGCAACGAACATGGCGTTGTGGTCGATAGAATCAAAAGCCTGTTTCCAATCGATAAAGAGTAGATGTAGCGAAGTACCGGTTTGTTCGGACCACTCCATGGCGCGTCGCAAAATAAAAAGGGGGTGTCTGGTGCCTTTGTTGGCTCGAAACCCAAATTGTGAAGATCTTAAATTATGGTCATGGGCTTTGGCTAATCTGGTTTGTATCATGGCGGCAAAGATCTTGTATATGGCGTTAAGGAGGGAGATGGGTCGGTAGTTAGAGGGATCTAGCTCTGAGCCCTTTCCCTTGTAGATAGACACTACTAAGGCTTCTTTCCAATTGGGCGGGGCCTTGCCGTCCTTCCAAATCTGGTTGTAGTGCTGAAGTAAAAGTGAGCGGGTTTCATCGTCCATCCACATAAATAGTTCATTGGCGTTGTGGTCAGGTCCCGGTGCCTTTCTCTTTTTCAACTTGTCTATCGCGTCATCTAGTTCGAGGATTGTAAAGGGGGCATCCGTATCGGTGGCGTTATATATATTTGCTCTTTCTTTGAGTAAGTCTTGCTGTTCCTGAGTGGTGCGGTTGGGGCGCCATTGCTTGTTCTGGAGGTGGTCCCTGAATGCCTCCTGCGTTTTGGTCCAAGGGACGGCTTTACCGTTGACTGTGAGATTGTTGCGGCGGCCCTGAAATCCTTTCCTTTGGGAGCGGAGGGTGGACCAGAAGGTCGAGTTTTCACCTGAAGGAGATTCCAAAATTCTATCGTGGATCCATTGGATACGGTCTTTCCTCGCCAGTCGCTTTGCTTGGTTCCTAAGCGATTTGGCGTTGTGGTCTGCCTGTGCTTCGGCGTTGCGCGCTTCAGTAAGGGCGGCGAGCGTGCGTTGTGTGATCCAGGGGCGTGACTGTTTTCGTTGCGGTGCTGGGAAGACTGCTTTGGCGGCTTCCTGTATGGCCGTAGTCCAGTCGTCCTTTTGCGTTGTGGCCTGTGGGTTTGCTGGAACATGTTGTGGGATGGGGGCTTGGTCGTTGCGGCAAATTCTTCCCCTGCTCCGCCAAGCGATCTGCGCGTTCGTTACCCTCTAATCCTGCGTGTCCTTTGACCCATTTGAACGTAACTCGCGTACCCGTGGATTTGAGTACAGATTTGGCGAATGCGATTAGGGTTTTGTGCTTTGTGGTTTTCCAACGGCCTTGGATTGTGTTGATGGCCCAAAGACTATCCGAGTAGATGTTGACGTGCGCGAGGGTTTGTGTTGTTACAAACAAGAGCGCTTCGATAATGGCACTGGCCTCCCCGGTGTTATTTGAACCAACATTAGCACCGTAAAATGCGTTGTGATCAGAGTCTGTGACGACAGGGCCTTTGGCTTCAATCCACGTGCCGCCTAAGTGTGAGCACCAGCCCCATCCCGCCGGCGTTCTGGCTGAACAGCGGCCGCCGGTGCCTGAACCATCCGTATATATATCCAGTTTTCCTGCTCTAGAAACCGGCGTTGTGGTCGTGTGTGTCACCTCTAAGAGCTGTTTCAGTTGGGCGTTGTAGTCTCTTATTTGGAACTCTGTTGCTGCAGTGGGTCTGTTAGCAAAAAGTGCGGGGGGTCTTTTAGGGCGTGCTGCGAGTTTGATCTTAATTTCCGTGATAAGGAGGTAATGGTCGGAGGGGAAACCGGTGTGTAGTTTACTTCTGCATGTACCAACCGAAGCGAGCCATTGTCTACGAGTAAAACAATGATCTAATCTTTGAAATCGTACGGGGTCTACCGTCGGCGCCGTTTTTGGCGGCGGGAGGGGTTCAGGGAGGTCGAGAAAAGACCTGACGTGCGCCGCTGCCTCAAGGGCGATGGGGCCTAGTTGGGAATTCAACAAGTCGTAAACTTGTAGAAGTGGGACCGGATCCAACACAAACTGTGACCAATCTTGGGGTGGGGCGGCCTTATCCCGATAGGTGATCTGCTGTAGGAGGTTAGGAGTTTTGAAGGAAGCAACTTCGACTAGATTATTCAACTTCAGGGTGTTGATGCAAAGAGAGCGATTAGAGGCTGCGTTGTGATCGATGTATTTGGTGCCTTTTCCTAAAACGAACGGTCCCAGAACGTCGTCGTCGTTTTTGTGGCGGGCCTGGAACCTGGTGTTGAAGTCACCAACAATGTATATGGGTTCGGGTTGTGGTATATGTGAAAGCTTGTGGTCAAGTGAGTCCCAAAAGGGCATTCGTGAGGTTTCGAGGTCATGACCTGCGTGGGGGGCATAGGCACCGAGTACATGAAAGTTTCCACCAAGCTTTTTGAAGGCAAGGTGTATGAGTCTGTTAGAGTCCTGAATGACATCTAGGAGATGTGGTCTGAGTCTGGGGGAGATGATCGCACCAACACCTGCATGCTTATCGAGTTTGTTGCCTGAAAGAACCACCAGGAAACCTTCCGAGCAATACGAGTAGTAGGAAGTTGATTTGGTCTCAGTAAGGATTAAAACGTCCAGATGGTGTTCCTGCATCATTAGTAGACAATTCTTCAACTTCAGAGTGTCAGCGAAACCCTGTACGTTCTGAGTACCAATGTTGATCCTAGTCTCGTACGGCAACGGCGTTGTGGTCGGGTGGTTCTTAGGCTTACGACCCTTTCTTCTTTTGTGGTGTTCCTGCCAGTACAGGTGTTGCCTGTACCAGCGCGCTCTGGACTGAGCGGCGTTTTTGGGTGTTAATGCAACACCGGAAGCAGAACCCACCTGCTGTCCGGATACCTGTTTGTGGTGTCTACACCAACGCCTATAGGATCTGCGCTGCAGTCTTCTACGCGTGGCGCCTCTAGACTCCACTTTGGTTGCATTATGTGAGGTACACTCTTCGTTGTCCCCTGGGGGAGGACCCGGCGTGCCTACAGGAGGCGGTGTTCGGCGTATGAATTTATTGTTGAATTCTGAATTATAAGTACGTTTCCGCTTTGGTCTTTTAGTAAAATATGTGTTGCCCGTACTAGTACGGAATTGAATTCTTCTACCAGTTCTGCTAGGTGGGGTTGTGGTATGGGGTCTAGAAACACGCGTTGTGGTCAAGAAGCCCAGGCTCTCCGCTGTCGGACTGTGAATCTGGACTTGTCGCCTAATCCTTAAAAGTAAGTTTTTATCATAAGTAACGGGTGAAAGGAGACTCTGAAGATTCAGGGCAGTGGGCTGGGGACTACTAAACTGTACGATGGTTGGGAAAAGGTACTGTTCTAGGCTGATGCTTTGGGGTGCTCGTACCCTGGTATCTCCGAAAAGGCAACTCCAGAGATTAAGTACAGGTCTAGGGTCAGGCGAGAAGTTCCGAGGCGTTGTGGTTGTGTTTCCATTAAGTGCATGCATAAGCTTATTGTGAAGTGAAGTCAAAACCGCAGAAAAACCCTGAAAGGGGGTCGGGGGGAGGGTTTTGCAGAGACCTGAAAAAGGCAACACTTCCCAAAAGCCGGCATTGTGGTCAAGGGTGCCGCCGCCATATAAAATTTCAAAAGGGCGGCGCGTCCCTTGAATGCCTTGATCGGCAGAGTGCCTCACATCCACGTTAGAAAGTTCAAAGGTGGGATGGAGCACATCTGCAAAAAGCTCCTCCCCCGAACAGCCATGGCGTTGTGATCGGGAAGGAGACTCGAAAAAACACAAAGGAGACCATCAGCTGCTTGTTCCGCCGAATGGCCTGGAGCGAAAGCCTGCCGGAGCTGCTTGCGAAGATGCTGAGGGAGCGCCTGTACCGGGACCGTGCGTTGTGGTCGCTCTGAGTTCGTTGACCACGTTTTGTGGGGGCTTGCCTTGGATTGTGGCAATGCTGTAGTCACCGACCTTGTGGTCAGTAGCCCCCCATTTGTCGCACATCTCATCCCATGAAAAATACACCCCCTCAACCGAAATGTACTCTAACTCGAATGGGTACGGTTCGTACTCACTCGAGTGGATGGCGACCTGGCTCCAGTGACGAGTGGATTTGCCGACATTGAGGCCCTTACCGCTGCCTTTGGCAGCTTGAAGAGCCTGCGTTGTGGTCTGTCTGTCGGCCAAATCGAGCTCCAACTGATTGCCCCAAAGCACCTTGTACCAATGCTCCTGCCACAAGTTGGTAGCATCAGCAGTTGGCACGGCAGCCGGGGCATTCAAAATTTGTGCGAGCTCCTCTGTGACCTCAAGTCGTCCCTGAAACTTGCCATCCTTTTCGAAATAGTGCAAACGGGCCCATGCTGTAAAATCTTCTTGGAAGTCGGTCCCGTTCTCAACCGGAGCCATGATGGTGAGACTTTTCCAAAGGATCACCATCTTGGCCCTTGCGTTGTGGTCTGGATGCGCATTTATTGCGCTCAGACAGACCCGAATTGGGGCCTCCAGCTTACGTTGCCACTGAGGACTGCAGGGCGCCACTTTTATGTGGCGCCCCTGTACAGGTGTGTTCTCATCCGTGTACAAAGGAATGCCCGACGATCCACCGAACCTGGCCAGGATGGCCTTTCGCAGCTCGAAACTCTTCAGCGTGATGAGGGTCATGCTGGAGTAGAAGTCAGAGCCTTGTGGAACTGTGGTCGGCTCCATCGTGAGGACGTTCATGAATCTGGTAAGCTCGTGGGCGTTGTGGTCGTTGAGGTAGCCACGGACTTCGAGGAAGGTTCGGCACTCAGTGACCTGGCTGAACAACCAGCATAGCATATAGATCCTGGCTTCCGGGGCGATATGGTTTGGCCATCCGACCGTCAGAAGTTGGGTCCCGACCATGTATTTCTGCATCTGCCGGTTTTCTGCAACCATAAAGTTGAGCTCCCTTTTCACACGAAACACACTGTCATGTATGGCTCTCAGTCCTCCCTCAAGTTGGCACACCAGAGAAAAATATTCAGGCCTGATGACTTTCTCGTGGTAGGCCCTGATAAGATCGAAAACCTGCTGGTTGGTCTGTATCGGCGTGTTGCACCACTCCTGAACGGCGTTCTGTTGGTTGATATCCACCCCAAAGGCCTCCGCTGTGACTGAAAGCGCCGCGTCCCTCTGCAACGAAAAAGGCTGCATGAGACTGCTCGTCGGTCCATCCACAGGCGTTGTGGTCGGGGGGGTCTCCAGCCCCGCGCTTGCCTCTGCTGGTGTACCTCCCACGCTCTGGGAAGGAGTAGGCGGACCACGCTTCATGCCCTGTCCCTGCTGTCTCCAGTACTCCCTGCTAACGGCGTTGTAGTCCGGAGTCTGAAAAATCCGACGCACGCCATGGAACTGCTGTAGCGCGCCCTGATCCGGTGTGGCTGGGTTCGGCGCGTTGTGGCCCATGTGTGCGTCCTGCTCCGACATGGCTAAAGGAGCTGCGTTGTGGTCAGAGACCACTCTGTGAGACCACTCGAAAAGAAAACTTGCAACGTGCTGACATGCAAGGGCTTGCAGCCGAAACGCCTCCACGAGAAAGTAGGCAAACGCAATGGGCTGAGTCGGGACGATGAACTCTTTGTACTGCACGACGCCGCCACTCGATGCTGCAGCGATCAGAAGGTCCTTAGATGCGCGGGTGGCGAACCCATGAATATACAGTCCTCGGCAAAAGTCTCGAAAGACTGCTGACTCCTTAAGAACTTGTTCGTGCTCTCGCCGCCGTGTTGCCGGCGCCAGCGCAAAATGTGCTTCAGAGCCTGCTGCGGCACACGATTGTTCTTGTCCGCCCTAAGACGAATCGTCACTGCGGACGGCGTGGGCTTTAAACCCTGCTCGACCAAGTAGTCTGCAACGGCAAGAACAGCATCGCGGTCCTCCCCGGAAGCGGCGGCGCAGTGGCGCTCTGTCGGCCGCGGGCTGACTTTGCCCCCACCTCACCGGAATGATCCTGCGCAAATGCGACCTCCAACACGTACTTGTTGTCCAGCCCTGTTCCTCTAAAGCGAAAGACTCAGCTACAAGCAGCGAAGTAGCCAGTGTGCTTATGGCAGTTTGCTGTTGTCTCTCACCGCATGGTGGACATCAATTGCGGTGATCTGAAACTACCAACCTTTTCGTTTTTGGATAGGGCCCACGTTCGCGCAGCTTCCCTTACGGAATTGGCCGGACACTCAAATGTCTCCAGCTCCTGGTACAGCAGTTTGCGACGCTTGCTTGCAGGCTGCGAGGGCTCGCTGGCTTCGAAAACATCCACACCATCCATCTCTGAAACGACGTGATTAAGACATCTCGCATCTGATATAAAAACCTGTTTCTGGCCTCGTCCCCTGGAAGCCAACGAAAGACATGTCGAACACGTGCACTGCAAACTATTTGCCTGACTCTCAAATATGTCCAATTAGCACACAATCGAGCCTGCCTTCATAAGTCAGGCCACGCACAGTGCAGTCTAAATGGCTTCCAAACAAGCGGAACTCCAAGGTTGGCATGACTGCGGATGCTAACAGCATCTGTGCGACAGAGAACCGCGCCTAAGTCTTGTGAACGTCAAAACTGTCGTGCAGTGGCACCATCAATTGTCAATGTTCAAGAGATGCTTGTCAGAAGTATTTTTTTGTGTCATGGTAAAGGCCCCATGTGGAACCTATAGTGTTGTCTCCGCTGGTCGTATTCTCTCACTCATCGCCACCTCTGGTGACTGTCATAAAAACGTAATGCCTGACGGTTTAGGGTTTAGGGTGTAATACAGGGGCCGGAATCACTAAGCTATTTCTTGGGGCTCCCTACGAATAACCTGTAGTGTTGTATCCAATGAAACCGTGTTCTAAGGCCCATGATGATATTAGGGAAACCGGGATGACAGACTGTCAGTCATCGCCACCATTGGCGAATCTAACGCTCCTCACAGGGACAATCGGTTTTGTACGGATTAAAATGCTGGGTTAAAGGATTTAGGGTTTGCGGGTGAATGCCTCAGAAAGCTTCGGAACAAGATCCTGTGGCTCGACGCCTCAGAATGCTTTCTCTGCACATTCGACAACCTGCTGAGCGAGAGGCCAATTGGCGCAAAGAGACCGAGACACAGAGAGCAAGTTGACCCTGCGCAGACTGAAGCCGGGGACAGTAGACAAAGAAAGAATAAGACCTTGGAGTGCCTTACTGTCTACCCTCGGTCCACACCAAATGCGGTCCAGCATGTAACACGTGCCTTCTGCAAGCCGTATCTGTAAGTCGGTGCGCCCGGAGTTCAAGCAGAGACCCGGCGGGAGCCCAGCAAGCGTACAAAAACCGTATCTGCAAGTCGATGCATCCAGAGTTTACGAGGATGCCCGGCTGAGGTTGAGGGTGCAGGGCCTGAGCGATATCATCAGCTTGGGCCACTTCCGCATACTGGTCCTTGCAAAGCCACCACACTGGCAGCATATCTATGGCTGGGAGTGGAGGTGTGGGGTTCTAGATCTCTGGCTGGAAGCTGAGATGGAAAGCTTCCCAAAGCAACATGACATTCATGTCAGCTTGCATAGTTTGCCCCACAAGGCCTGGATGGCAGACCGACCATTGTATACCCGGACGCCCCAACAAATGCGTTTACAAGATGCTTCTGGTGTTTGATGGTCTTTGTCTCTATGCAAGGGGCCAGCAAATCCATGCCAGCAACAGACTCACAACAAGCACTTCTTTGAGCCTGTGTTGCCGAGACGATCCGATACGTCCATGGCCACCATTCATTGCAAGCACTCTACACACCTCCAGAGAAAATAAAGGAAACTTTCTATTTCCTTTACATGGGGGCCTCTGCGTGTACAGCATCCACAGTCGAACGCCCTTGCCGTGAGAATTCTTGAATTTCCAACAAAGCAAGACAGCAAGAGAAATGCGATCTAGTCCCGATATAGCGGCGCGTACTGTCAGCCAGCTGAGCTCGACGACTGTGAGGTTGCCGGCTTTCCAGAGCAATCGCCGCTTTCTAGCCGCCTGCGCACTGCTGAATGCAGATGCACGCAGCAGGGGGACGACCCTATTTCGCATTTGTTTGGTGCAACCCTTCAGCTCCCTCCTTAAAATTGCGCGATGCACTTTCAGCTGGACAACCAGATCAGCAGGCACATCGGTCGGCCGGAGGTGCTCGCGGGGCAACGGTCAGGGTTGACTCTGTCTGCGCCCGAGAGACTCCGTCACGGAGAAGCATCGTTTTTTTGGGGGGGTCTGTTGGCTGCCTCTTTCGCTCCTCCCAGTTTCTTGCCTTTTGCCAAATGGCGTCCAAAGGCAAGGCAGACTGCTTCCCACAGCTTCTGAATCTGCTGAGTTTCTTGAATCCGACCAAACAATTGCTGAATCCGTCCGTCTACTTTCTCAAGCTGAGTTTCTGAATCCGTCCAAGTACTTCCTAAATCCGTCCGTATAGTTTCTAAAGAGTAGTTTCCGGATCCGCAATAGTTTCTAAATTCGCTATTGATCCTGAAAACTACCGCATAAGAGTTTAAGAAAATGTGCGCCCTGAGATTAAAAAACAGCATTTAAAAAATAACTCAAGCCCTTACAGCAGTCATTGAAGACAACATCCTAAATGCCTGACTGGACCCTGAGCCCGAAATCCGCAACACCCCTAGCTGAAAAGGAGAAAGGACTCCATAGTATGGATTCCTTATTTCTTAGAATAGGGTTTTGGAGCCCATTTTTCTGTGATTATAGTAAGAAACCCTCAAAATAGTGCAGTATAGCTAACCCTACACCCTGAACCCTAAACTAAGGACTCCAATATCTTCATTTTTCTGCCAGTCCTGGGATGGGTTCCTCTCGACATTGCCACCGCCGGGGCCTCCGGGGATGCTGCGAAGGGTTGTGCAAGGGGTTAGTACTATACTGAACTTAGAACCCTAGCAAAAATTACAATTTTCGCTGTTTCTTAGGGATTATAGCCAAAAATTAAAAATATTTCTAAGTACCCCTGAGGTAAGGGGTTTAGGGTTTAGAGGCTTTGGGCTTTAGGGGCTTTGAGGTTTAGAGGCTTGGTGTGTAGGGGTTAAAGTTTAGGGGGTACAGATGTATCCAGCTCCAAAAACTTAAGGAAGACTCTATGGTTTTCATATAGCAGCTTGAATATCTAATCTCATATACATGTGTGTATATACATGTGTATGTCTTCGTGTGTGTGTGTGAATAGTTGTTGTTGATGGATTGCTTTATTGGCTTGCCGCGATGTCCATGTGTTGTATAGGTCTATTCGCCTTCAACCTTCATCCACATGCACAAAACCCTAAACTCAACCCTCCCTAAGCTGAACCCCAAACTTCCCACTCCAAACTCTGCCTGCTGTCATATTTCATGTTCGGGTGAAGCTGCACTCGTTTCGGTTCGCAGCGCACGCAAGCCTTGAAGGGGCACCTTCTTGGGAAGCCTTTGGCCATCTCACACATGGGGGGCCTAAACGCTAGGAATTAGGCTTTGCGATATAATATGTGTGTATATATATATATATATATATATATATACTGTATGCGGGATCCCAGAACATGCCCGACAATGAAGGAACACTAACACACTTCAAACCACACGTATTAGAAAAGCCTCATTCAGAGCATCCATTCCCTCGAACCTAAATCCTACCCCCCCAAAGAACGATGAAACGCCCGCCTGCATAATTACCACTATCATGCCTCTGGGTTCCCTATTACGACCGCACTATCTAACTATACAGGCCCCTATACTATTTGACGGCACCCGAATCCCTGGCCCCCCTAACAAAAGAACACACAACGAACTACTACACCTTGCACCCTAAACCCCAAACCCTGAACCCCGAAACCCCCAAACCCTAAACCTTAACTTAAACCCCTAAACCCTAAACGCCAAAACCCTAATTCCTAAAATCGTAATTCCTAAACCCCGAAACCCTAAATCCTAAAACCCTAAAACCTTAAATCCTAAAACCCTAAACCCCAAAAACCCCAAAAACCCTGAATCCTCTAAAACCCTAAAACCCCAAAAACCCCAAAAACCCTGAATCCTCTAAAACCCCTGAGGCGGCCTTCGCTTTGGGCACCCTGGTTCCCCGGGTCGAGAGACAGCCTCGGCACTGGGACTCTGAGACTTTTGGCTGAAGTTGGGTTTAAGGTTTAGGGTTTAGGATTCAGGGTTTAGGGTTTAGGATTCAGGGTTTAGGGTTTAGGGTTTAAGGTTTAGGGTTTGGGGTTTAGGGTTTTAAGGTTTTGGGGTTTAGGGTTTAGGGTTTAGGGTTCAGGGTTCAGGGTTCAGGGTTCAGGGTTTAGGGTTTAGGGTTCAAGGTCTAGGGTTCAGGGCTTAAGGTATGGTTTTGGTTTAAGGGCGGGCGGCCTTAAATGATGTAGGGGCCTTAACAAGTAGAATAGGATTTTGGGGCCATAAGGAACCCCCCAAAATAGTATTGGCAATTAGGGGCGTTAATAGTTACCTATACTATTGTGGGGGGGGGGTTCCTTCTTATAGCTAGTCTGATATACCCCCAAACCCTGTTCTAATTATTAAGGCCTCTATGCTAATGGAATATAGCTTGGTTTAAGGATTAAGGAATGGGGTTTGTGGTATACTATAGCATAGAATATGGGTGTTGCGGGTAGGCTTTTAAACCCTCAACCTTCAACCCTACGTTTAGCTGTGCTTGCCGAAGCGCTGGACAACGAAGCTCTGGCTCCGAACCTCCAAAGGGAGGATTTAGGGATTAGGGCTGCGGGCTTGGGGTTTAGGGTTTGCTGTAGAGTAGCGCATAAGTGGAAATATCTTGTGACCGTGTAGTTTCGAGTGACGATTGGCCGTTGGAGCCTGATCGTGGATGGCTCTTTCTTTTAACTCTCCCACCCCACGCCGTTTAAGGCGGCCAAACCACCCAAACCTATTCCTCTTAGGGTTTAACACTAAGCTCATGCTATGGTTTTCTCTATTTCTTCAAGCGTGCAACAGGGCAGCAGCAAGGCGACAGGGAAGCAGGGCAGGGCAGGCAGCACGGGGCTGCCAAGGCGGGGCCAGACGGGCCGGGCTAGGGGACCGTGGAAGCCCCAGGCCCCGGGTCCCTTTTACCGGGCCTGACGTGGGTGCTACCGTCCCCATGGCTGTGGAGAGGCGGGCAGGCGTCTTGGGTCGCTCTGCGCTATCAGGGTCGAGGGGTTTAAGCGCCGCCCACCCGCAGTGGGTAGGCCGCCTATGCCTTGCGTTTGGGGTTTGGGGTTTGGGGTTTAGGGTCTAGGGTCAGGGGAGTGGCTTTGTAAAGGATTGATTGCCCCAATTAATATGGCGGCCTTCGTAATTAGAATAGGATCTTGGGGGCATATGCTAGCCACGTCACGATGGCAAGTGAGCGTCGGCCACGCCACTGTTTAGGCTTTTTTGTTCGGGTTTTGGGTTCCGGGCACCCAGAAACAAAGAGCATCCGTAAAAAGGACCAGAGACGTCTACAAGGATGAAAGATGAAGGGAGAGCCGTAACCCGGAACCCCAACATCCTAAACCCTGAACCCTAGAATCCTAAGCCCTAAACCCTGAACCCGAAACCCATAAACCCCTAAAACCCTAAAAACCTTAAACCCTAAAACCCTAAACCCTAAAACCCTAAACCTCTAAACCCTGAATCCTAAACCCTGAACCCGAAACCCCAAGCCCAAATCCTGAAGTCACAAACCTTAGCCAGTCGAGCTTTGAACCCGTCCTGAGGCTCGTGCATAGGGTTTAGTGTTTAGAGGTTTAAGGTTTTAGGGTTTTAGGGTTTAGGGTTTTAGGGGTGTAGGGGTTTAGGGTTTAGGCGGTTTAGGGGTTTAGGGTTTAGGGCTTTAGGGGTTTAGGGGTTTAGGGTTTGGGGTTTAGGGTTTAGGTTTATGCATAGACTTTCTGTACGGCTCAGAGGGCACCCCGATCTAGGGTTCGGGGTTTAGGGTGATCTACAGCAGGCTATACGCTTGGGCCTCGAGGAGGGCCCCGAAAACCCAGGCGGCACCAAACCTGCAGGCATAGCTTACAGCCCTCATGGTTAAACTACGCGGTGTTCGTGTATACTCTGGCAGAATTGTGTGTGGGGGACTAAAAGTGGATACTATTCTGCATTTTCTCACGCCTCTACATTCGAGGGAGGAGTTTAGGAATTGGGATTGAAGAAAGGTTGGGAGGGGCCAGGGCTTGACACCTGTGGCACGTAATGTAGGAACCTGATTGAGACCCCCAGGCCCTATAACCCCAAGATATTAGGATTCAGTCAAAATAAGATGTTAGGATTCATACAAAATAAAATAATATTACTAAATAAGCCCCAAATACAGACGCAAGGTTTTCTTCATCAGGTTCCTGTATTGGGGTGCAGGTTTGGGCGTGGAGTCTGGGGCTGGGCTCTTCAAAGGAGGTTCCCAAAGGGTGCCCTTTTTCCGCTTATTCGATGTAAATAAGGAACACCAGAAAGCAAAATGGCAAAAGGGTTCTACTGGGGAACATAGCCAACTTCAATCTTCCTGGAGTTGTCGGCGTATGCTGAAGGGCTTCGGATTCCGGGTTTTGGGGTTTGGGGTTCAATTTTTCAGGCGTCAAGGGGTTCAGAGTGCAGATCGGGTTCAGGGCTTCGGGATTTTGGGGTCTCGTGGTGTGGGCTTGAGGGACAGGAGTGGGGCCGACACGAGACAAGGCAAGGCAGCACCGTGCATGGTGCTCCCAGCGTACCAAAGCTAGAAAATCACACATCTGTTAGTTCAGGGTTTAGGGTTTAGGGTATAGGGTTTAGGCTAGAAAATCAAGCCTTCTGCATAGCATCCTCGACTTGTACCAGCGAAGGCTTACACGGTGTTGTCAGTGGACGCAACCCGTCAGAATCTCACAGTCTACTACAGTCCTGCAAGAGTCCGGCTTGCCTTCTAAGCCCTCAAACCCTAAATCGTTAACCTCTAAACCAGAATCTTTGCAATCCAAAAGCACTACAACTTATATAAGGGCCTGAGCAATTAGAATAGGGTTTGGGCATATGCTTTCGTTCAACTGTAGCGGGATTATACGGGGATATCAGCACATGCCTGGCATTTGGCAGTACACAAAACATGGGCACCGCAAGCGGATGCTGTTAGGAACTATTCCGAAATCTGAAACCGTTTAGTCTCCAGGGTTTTGCGCTTTTCTCCACTGAAGGAGCGCATCAGGCCGGCAGCGCTCGGGGCTCAGGGCTTCTTCGGCTTCTGGTGTGCAAGCTTCAACCAGGCTACAAAAGCGGCTTTGATGATTAAGATTGCGTTTCGAGGTATATATTATACTATAGTTATGATACGGGACACCCAAAATAGTTTAGGCAACTGTTAATGCCCCGATCGTAGGGTGTTGGGCCTTGGGTTGCTGAAGGCCGTTTCGCGCAGGCGTCTCCCTCAAGCTTTGCTTGGGAAGCTTCGACTGAAGCTGGGCGCTCCCGGAGGAGCTATGTTGCCACACTAAGGGGAAGATGTTCTTCTAATCCCAAACCTTTGGTACGGCCCCCACTCAGCAATAGATAAATTAGGACCTTTATAGTAGCCCTACTATAGACTCTTGCTGTATGGGGGCAGTGCCTAACCCAAACCCTAGAAACCGTCACGAAACCCTATGTGGCGAGCGTGGACCTTTGAATAATATCTATCTCCTCACCTTAACAGGAACTACGACAGGGAGCCTGATACCCTGTCTCTTAAGGAAAGGGTTCGTTGTTGCTGCTAGTTGGCTGTCTCGATTAAGTGAAAGCCCTAAACCCCAAAACCCCAAAACCCCAAACCCTTAAACCCCGAACCCCTTAAACCCCTAGACCCGAAACCCCCAAAACCTTAAACCCTGAACCCCTTAAACCCCTAGACCCTAAACCCCCAAAGCTTAAACCCTAAACACTGAACCCCTAAGCCTAAGCAAGCTCCTTGGCAGAACCTCAGTAACAAGCCACTCACCTGCCAGCGCCGCTCCTCTGGGTCGAATCGTCTACATTAAACTCTGCAATCCGGGTGTAGGGGCCGTAAGGCTTTGCAGTATGTTCGAGATTTCTACAGATATATAGGGGCTGTAAGGGGGCCTCGTCATTACAGGTATTTTTAGTATCATCAGCATCATCAGTGTTACTGGTAGCGTTATTACTGTATGTCAGTGCCTTTATCCCTATGATGACTAGTAGTGCGATCATTCGAAAACTGTTGATGATATCCTGCATTACCCATAATAAGGAATAGACCATAATTCCCATAGTTTAGGGTCCTTAAGGTAATGCAGGATTCATATCATCAACTGTACGAGTGAAGGGTCGTGAGAAGCCCGAGGAGGACCTCCGACCGCCTTGGGCTTCCCAAAACAAATCTGAATGCTATTATGGGTGGTTGTCAAAATTAGGGTCCCTTTTTCGGTACCCTAAATAATAGGTGCCATAGTATAATAGGTACCTACAAAGCTTGGCACGCCCTTTTCCCTCGTGATTTTGGCGAGCTTACGTGCCAGGTGCGGAACCTGAAACCTAATCCTTGTCACGAGATATTGACAATAGTATGGGTTCTTCATCATCCCACCATATCGCGCACTATGCAAAGAAGCACAAATACTGTAACTACCCGTGTTTTTGATGCTAGCACAAAGCATCACCGCTTGTGACAGCTCATCAATGTTGATAAAGAGCAAAGGCGCTTTGAAAAAACAACAACAGTAGTTTGGGCATGGTCCAGTGAATAGAGCATAACCGCACAGAGGCATGAACGCTTGTGGCAGCGCGTCAATTATGATAAAGACAACAAGGCTGTGAATAGCAGCGTTTTGGGCATGGTCGCTGTCGTAAACGACAGCATTATGCCACCCACCCAGCCACCCACCCACCCGCCCACCCAAGCCCAACCTACCCACCTACCCACCTCCCACCCACCCACCCACCCACCCACCCACCCCCGCAAAGCAGACTGGAAACATCGGAAAACAAAGAAAGTAGTATGGGGGCCTTGATGTTTCAACTAAGGTTTTTGGGGCACGATATGGTGTACTTATCACTTAAAACATTTTGGCAACTGTGTTGGACTCTATGTTGTATGCGGACAGGGATCGCCGGCATTGGATGGGTTTCGGCCTCAACCTAATGTGAATGAGTTCGGGTGGCTTTGCCGGAAGGGTGTATGCCACAGACGGGTCGCTGCTGCTTTTATCGAAAAACCAAGCAATCGAGAGCTCTTTGTCCCGTAACTTTCACTATACTGAACTTAGAACCCTAGCAAAAATTATAGTTTTAGCTGTTTCTTAGGGATTCTAATAACAAAAACTTAAAAATTATTTCTAAGTACCCCTAAGTTCACTGCTCCCCCGCAACATCATACCAAGCCCCAAACCCGGAGGGCCAAACTTCCTCCGTACACCTTGGGTACTGCCCCAATACTGTAACAGTCTATAGTAGGGCTACTATTAAGGTCCTAATATATATCTGTATTGATATATTATGAATACTATCCAACTGTTACTGAGTGGGGGCAGTACCCAACGTACACCCTTGACCTTAAATTTTGCAATCCGAGACCCTTGATTACGGCCCCTGAACCCTAATTAGACATCCCAGACCCTAAACCCAAAAGACCTGAGACCTGCTGTCCTTCTCATCGCTGCGCCGTCTGGCCCTTGAAGAGGTGGAACCTGTCAGCTGTTGCAAACGAGCCGCGCAGAGTGGATTATCTTCTGAACTAATGGGCACTTTATATCTATATCTGTATATCTACGTATTTTTATGCCTATTTATCTATGTACCTATATGCCTGTATATCTTTCTATCTTTGTATAACTATCTATATATCTATACATATATATATATATACATACATACATATATATATGTACAGATATATATATGTATACTTATAGCTGTATATCTATA